GTGCATGCCCCCATTCCCTGGCGCCCGCAGACTGCAAGGGAGTGGTGCGCGCGACGCCGATATCGGCAGCTCCCTGCTGTCGCCGCCAAAGCCGCGGTCGCGGGTGCAGGGCGAGGTCCGCTTTTCCGAGGCCGGAGCCCGGGGAGAGCGTGGGGCCGTGCCAACCCGACGGGCTGGACCCCACCCGCCTCCAAATCTCGCGCGTCCGGACTCCCCTCGGGACAGTGCGTGGACAGTATATATGAAAGCATGCATGTATATCATATGGAATCTGTGGATCGATTACATTGACTTAGCCCGAAATTGAAATGTTCGTCGAATCTACGGGACAGAAACACGTCGAATTGGCGTAGATCTACGTGCATAAGGCATCTGTTGTGTAGATTCGACGAAGACATCAAGTGTGGGGTAAATCAGTCGAAGTTCATCTCGCATTCGAGTATTCGAACCTTTGCCCATGTAGGGGGGGATTCTGATCACCCCGCCCCCCAAATCAATGGTGATTTCAGTACTTCTGTCCACTCCAGCCCCGTACATTTCCGCAACCTCTATCTTGATTTGGGGGGGTCTGGGGGGGGGGGGCAGACCTTGCGCGCCGCAGGGTTCGAGCTTATTGTCCATGTTCTGGATCTTTGTGGGGTCCAGACCCACCTGGTCGCCCGGTGGGTGCAGCCTGGTCTGTCTGGTCCGGTAGGTGCTTTGGAGGAGAGGAGCATCGACACCCCGAATCTTTGTACAAGCGGAGATTTTCGGAGGCTCGCGCGGGATTTCTCGTGGATCTCCGCTGGACATCCCCTTCCATTGAGCGCGCCAGTGGTAGGGTGCAGGGAGGAGGGTTCAGTGCCGACCCAAGTAATCCGCGCGGTCCTCCGAACGCTGATGCTAATGAAGTTTCTGGGCTTCTCTAGAGAAGTAGGAGTGAGCGGGAGAAGGAAGAGGATAAGGAGAAGCAGGAGGAGTAGGAGGAGTAGGAGGAGGGGGAGCTGGAGGAGGGGGAGATGCAAGAGGGGGATGTAGAGTGAGGGGGAGGAAGAGAAGAGAAGGAGGAGGAGGAGGAGGAGGAGGAGGAGGAGAGGAGGAGGAGGAGGAGGAGGAGGAGGAGGAGGACGAAGGAAGAGGAGGAGGAGGAGGGAGGAGGAGGAGGAGAGGAGGAGGAGAGCAGGAGCAGGAGCAGGAGGAGGAGGAGGAGGAGGAGGAGGGAGGAGGAGAGAGGAGGAGGAGGAGGAGGAGCAGGAGCAGGAGGAAGGAGGAGGAGGAGGAGGAGGAGGAGGAGGAGAGGAGGAGAGGAGGAGGAGGGAGGAGGAGGAGGGGGAGGGAGGTGCAGGAGGAGGAGGAGGAGGAGGAGGAAGGAGGAGGAGGAGGAGGAGGAGGAGGAGGAGGAGGAGGGGGAGCTTGGGGATGAGGAGGAGGAGGAGGAGGAGCAGAAGGGGGAGTTGGAGCAGGGGGTGGAGCGAGGGGGAGCTGGGGGAGGAGGATGGAGTGGGGGAGGCGGGAGGGGAGGGGGAGGTGGAGGGAGGGAGGGGCAGGGGGAGGTGGAGGGAGGGAGGCCTTCGCTGGGCAGGACAGGCGCCCGGGGGCAGAGCGGCATCCAAGGCCGCGGGCTCGTGCTTCCCCGGGGGGCGCGCAGGCTCGCCCAGCAGGGGCTCCAGCAGCGGTCCTCGCGCGCTGCGCGCGCTCGGGGTCGCCCCTTTCGTGGGGCGTCGTCGAGCCTGGGCCTCCCAGCTGGGGTCGGAGTAGATGGGGTCGGAGGGTCGCTCCGCATCGCCGATGCGTTGGTGATGTGGCGCGATGCGGAGCACGTTTTTCTCCACGCCTTCTTCGCCGATGCACGCCGACGTCGCCGATGCATCGGCGATGCATTGTCGATGCGGCGCCATCTTCCAACCCCATTTACTCCGACCCCATTTGGGAGGCCTCTAGTTGCAAAGAACGGTAAGGGCCATACTTTATCTCGTGCTGCTGGGGCTCGTCAGGTGTCCGGAGGGTGGTCCTGTACTTCTCTGGAGAGGCCTCCCCTCCTCTCACTCGAGCCTCGTCCTCGACCTGGAGGTCTCCAGAGTTCTGCTGAGGTCTATGAGATTCTCTGGAGGTATCTGGAGGTCGCGGGATGCCTGCGCGGAGGCCTCTGGAATCCTCCTCTGGAGGCTTGTCAAGGTCCGCAGCGGGCCAACGCATATGAACACGTCGACTCTCGATCCTCCTCCTCCGCCTCCTCCTCCTCCTCCTCCTCCTCTCTTCTCCCCTCTTCTCCCTCCTCTTTCCTTCCTACTCTCCTGCCTCCTCGCTTCCCTCCTAGATCGAAGAGGGTCGTGGAGATGGAGCATAGTCAGAGGTAGCCCAGCTGACCCCGCCACTCGCCAGCCATGGGGTCCTCCTCTGGGGCGGGCGAGGGCTCAAGGCCTGGACACGCGCTGCCCTTGCGGCCAGGGCGGCCTTCCAGAGAGGACCTGCGCCCTCTGCTGCTCCCTCCCCATAGGTTCGGAGGTTGATAGACCTCCTACCCTGACGCGTCGGTTAGCGAATTGGCCGTTTTCTGTTCGCGAGAGGGCGTCGCGGCCATCCTGTTTGCGGGCCCAGGTCCGTCGGTTTCGGTCCCAGGCCGTTTTCACTGAAGGGTTGTTTGCTAAAAGGAGTTTTGCCCACCGCCGAGAGATCCGAGGCTCCGAAAAACTTGGAGCGGCCGGTTGGGGCTATTTTCAGCCTCCGGAGGCCCTCAACGGGCCCTGGGACCGTCAAAGAGGAGGCCTTTCTATTGCATGGCGGCTGATAGCTGAGCGAGCACACTCCAGCAGCCGGACAGGTGAATATCTACACCTGGTGCTACTTTACCGGTTTGTCTAATATTTTGCGAATCACGAGGCGGCTTACAATCGAGATGGGGCTAGTGCCCCCCCAGAAAAAAAGAGGAGCGGGGATCGATGATCCACGGGACGTGTGTGTGATAGTCCAAACGCGCGTGTTTGCCCCGCTCGGTTCCGGCGATGGCGCGCTGCCCGTGTCGGCCCTCGTGGCGCCGCCCGCGTCGCACTGAAGGGCCTCGGTGGACAAGCACGCGTTGGCGCTAAGACACGCTCTGAGGATCCTCGGCCGCGGGCCCGCGCATCGAAAAGACTGGGAGCGCCAGGTGTCTCAGTCTTTCCCTCCCTCCTTTCTCCTCTCCTCCTACCCTCTCCCTCCTCTTCTCCCCTTTCCCCCCCTCCCCTCCCCCCTCCCCCCCTTCTCCCCCCCCTCCCCTCTCCTATCCCCCCCCCTCCCCCCCTCCTCCCCCTTTTCGCCTCCTCCTCCTTCCCCTCCTCCCCTCCTCTTCGTCCCCTGCTGTTCTCCCCATCCATCCATCCCATCTCTCTTGCGAGTAACTCCCACCTGTCGCATCACCACTGGACGTGTCCGTGGACCAGGCCCAGCGTTTCACTAGAGATTTTGTTGCATATTGGTTGATTCCTTGAAGCAAGGTTGGAGGGCTGGTAGCGTTCAGACTGCGGCTCCAGCCTTAGCGCCGCGCACATCCGTTGAACAAGTTTGCAACACCTTCGAGGGTGGAGGGCTGATGTTTTTCGAAAAGCTGCTCTCGCCTTGGCGCCGCGCGCATTCGTTTTAACAGTTCGTAGCAGCATGGATGGATGGCCCTTGGTTTTCAAAATGCGGCTTCCGCCTCAGCGCCGAGCATTTTCGTCTTCAAAGCTTGCAGCCCTTCCAAGGATGAAGGCTCATGCTTTGAAATGTGGCTCTCGCCTTAGCGTTAGCGCTGCGCACATTCGCGACAACGTCGTGCTACAGCTGAAAGGACGGAAGGTGGGGCCTTCCCACTTCCTCGAATTTACTGACCAGACGTGTACAGTAGGGGCGTTGACCTAAGGAGCCCTAAATAAGGAAGGAGGCCCCTTTTTTCATAAGTTAACCTTCGATTTCCGGTCGAAAACATAAGGAAAGCCTGAGGCAAGCTGCGAAACACTTAAAGAACGCGGAGCCCCTCCCCAACGAAAAGGGTTCCTTCTTCAGGGCCCGGACTGTATTCCGATGTAATGGTTGGACGCATGTGGGGCGGCTTCTTTTCTAACAGTGCTCTCGCTGGACGCCTCGTGTAACTTCGTGACCCCTATTTTTTTCCGCATGCTTTGCCACCTGCTGGACAGATGCGAGGCACCTTTCCCAAAGCGGTACTCTCGTTTCGATCGCAGGCTCGAATGGTGCTGGCCCATGGGATGCTCGCTTTTCGTCGGCGCGCTTCGTGTAGGGAGCAGGAAGGTTTGTAGGGACTTCTGGAGGGGACTTCGGACAGGAGGGTGTATTCCAGCATCGTTCATGCACGCACTTCTGCGTGAGTTGGGCAAGACGTGCACGTGTAAGATCACCCCCGCGAGGGCGGAGTATATTGCCCGAACTTCCCGAGGTTTGTGGTTGAAGGTTTTCAGTGCCAGCGAGAAGCGTATACGTGGCCGCCCTGTGTAATTTGCATGTGCAGGAGTGTTTCAATCAGACATCGTCTTGTAGTCATACTCATACTTCCTCTCTTTTCTCCTCCTCCTTCCCTTCCCCCAGTGCGCCGTGGCCCAGGCGAATGGCAACGGCTGTACCTCAGGGGCCCGCGAAGGCTCCCAGAAGCCTCCCGAGGCCCGAAAAGTGCCAGAGACATCCGAAACGATCGATCCTCGCTCCCTCCCCTTTCCCTCCTCCATCCGTTTGCCTTGTAAACCACTCCTTCCCGTCGCACCCCGAGACGTGTTGGTAGGGCGGGCCAAGCATCTCGCTTCAGAATTCCTCGCCATTCGTGGCTCCGAGGCTTACCGTGACATGGACGGAGGGCGGGTGGCCTTCAAACAGTGGTTCTCGCCCTAGCGCCGCGCACACTCGCATCAAGCATGTTGCAGCAGTTGCACGGTCGCAGGGTGGGCCTCTTCCCAAATGCGGTTCTCGCCTTGGCGCCGCGCCCATTCCTTCTCAAAGTCAGCCCGCGTCTCACGGGCGGATGGGCGGGCCGTTTCCAACACGTGGCTCGCGCTTTGGCGCTGCGCGCATTCGGCTCAAGCGGTTGCAAGAGGTTTACGGGTGGACGCTGGTCGTGTTCGAATTGTGGCTCTCGCTCTGGCGCCGCGCGCATTCGTGCGAAACGTGTGCAAACGGCTCCGCGGAGGGAGGGCGGGTGGTTTCCAACATGTGGTTCTCGCCTTAGGGCCGCGCGGGTTCGGCTTGGAAGTTTGCCAGGGCTTCGCGGATGGAGGGCGGGCGGCTTTCCAGATGTGGCTCTCGCCTTGGCGCCGCGCTCATCGTGGCCGAATCGCCTGAAAGAGCTTCACGGACGTAGGGCGGGTGGTTTTCAACATGTAGTTTTCGTCTACAGTCAACCCGGGTAGTAAGGATGCGCGACAAGTCGGAAACTGGGACGTATACATTACCAGTGGCGGGCTGTCTCTTGAATTCCATGCCCGTTTTGAGGGTCGGGGGCGACGCTGGGGTGGTGTGGTGTATATTTTTTTCCCCGATGTCGCGGGAAAGCAGCGAGACATGTATTCACCAGGATCCCGTATACACCAGAATCCGCGTTCCTATGCGAATTTCAGCGCAGGGTCGGGAAAAGCGTCGGTGTATAGAGCTTGTTTCCTTAATAAGGATGCAAGGGCCTTGGACGCCCATCTCGAAGCGCCTCGAGCGGGGCGCGGCCAACGAAAGTGTCCAAGGATGGACCCAGGAGGCAAGGATGCAAGGGTACTCTTGGGAGGGATGCCTATCCTTCACTGCGGGTCGACTGCAAGCGCCGAGCGCACTCGTCTCCACAGTCTGCAGACGCTTCGCGGAGAGAAGGCTGCTGGCTTTCCAAGTATGGCTCTCGCCCGAACGGCGCGCACATTCTGTCCTCAAGCTTGCACGAGTTCCACGCATGGCGGGCGCTTCCTTTTCAGCATGTGGCTCGTGGTTTAGTTGTACCTGTTCCGTTTCCGTTTTTTTGCCGGTTCCGACGCTGTATTTTTACCGGTTCCGTCGCCGTTCTTTTACGGGCTCCCGCTACGGCTCCAATCCTGGAGCCGCTTTTGTTGCCGTTTCCGGTCGCCGTTTTTTTGCCGTTTCCATTTTCAAGGGAAACGGTGAACAAACGGCCTTGCCGTTTCCGGAGCCCACTAAGGTTTAGCGCCACGCACATTCGTTTTGACAGTTTACGAGAGTTGTACAGGTGGAAGGCGGGTGGTTTTCAAGTTGTGGTTTTTGCTTCGGAGGCGCGCACGTTCGTCTCAACGTTTTGCAGGAGCTTCACGGATGGTCGCTGGTTCTTCTCGAATTTTGTTTCTCGCTTTGCCGCTGAGCGCATTCGTGGTAAACGTGTGCAAGTGTTCCAAGAGTTCCAGGCAGGTGGTTTTCAACATGTTGTTCTCGTTTTAGCGCCGTTCGAATCCGGCTTACAAGTGTGCAAGAGCTTTGCGGATGGAGGGCGGGCAGTGTTCCAAATGTGGTTCTCGCCCTTAGTGCCGCTCGCATTCGTTTGAATAGTTTGCCGATTCGCGGATGCAGGGCGGGTGGTTTTCCACATGTGGCTCTCGTCGTAGTGCCGCCTTCGTTTGTTCTAAACGTTTGGTGGAGCTTCGTGGATGAGGGCTGGTGAGTTTCAAGATGTGCCTCTCGCCCGATCGCCGCGCACATTTGTCTTACAAGCCTACAGCATTTTTAGAGGGTTCATTGGTGGATGTACCAGAAAGCGTGTTCTGGCGCGATTTGGGATTCTCAGGGATTCACAGACACGTTGATACGCGGTGTGTCCCAGGGTGTGGGAGTGGTGTTCTGGCGCGATGCAGAATCGTCAGGACGCAACTGTAAAGTTTATTCGTGGCGTTGAAGTCCGAGGGATTGTGTTTCGGCACGCTTGAGAACTCTCACTACCAATGGGCTTATCTGGCAGTGAAGGTCGTTTCTTGTAGGGACCCATGAGCAAGGGATGTTGGAGGGAACTTCTATTGCAATCGTTGATGCGTCGTGGGTCTGCACTGGTCGTCCTTCTTCCCCCCGTCCTCCACCGTCCTCCCTCCTCCTCGCCCTGCCTCCTTCTCCTCATCCCCTCGCTCCCCTCCCCTCCCTCCCCTCCCTCCCTCCCTCCCTCCCCTCCCCTCCCCGCCCCTCCCCTCCCCTCCCCTCCCCTCCCCTCCCTCCCCTCCATCCCTCCCCTCCCATCCCCTCATCCCCTCCCCCCCTCCCCTCCCCTCCCGTCCTGTCGGATCGACCCGGAGGGGGTGCCATCCCGAGACCTCCCAGCGCGCCCGGGGGGGGGGGAGCCAGAGGCGCATGGCAACGGCGGCGCGAGCCCGAGCTCGAAGGCCGCGCTCCCGTGCGTCTCCTCCCGGCAGCAGCACTGCGTCCAGGACCGCGAGGCCCGCCCCGTGCGCGGGGGCCACGCGCTCCCCTCTCGAGGCTTGGGGATCGAGGTTGGAGGGTCGAGGTTCGAGGGGCAGGAGGGTCGAGGACCGAGGCGCGAGGGCCGAGGCGGAGGAGGAGCGCGGCGGTCGAGGTTCGAGGGCC